TCATCAACAATTGGCTTCAGAACATACTCCTTTCAGAAGAGTCCTCGATGATTGCTTTACAACTCTGCCTGTGCATATGTACTGGAAGATTAAGTCCCCTTAGCAACCTCGGATTTTCTGCTTGTTTGGTTATAGCTGTTGTCAAGCACCATGAACCCTCACAAAGGGCACAGGAGCTATCTCACGTGAGACTAAGTGTTTTCAGAAGAGGGATCAGGTCTACTCTTTCTTATCCACACCCTCCCCCACCACCCCAAGCTTATAGTGTTCTGCATGTTAGACATTTGTGATTTTTAAGACAGTCTCTTCTAGAAAGATTAGAGGGCCCTTTACCAGGATGCCATAACAAAGGAATGCGGATGGGTAAGTGAACAAGCACCCTTGAGATATAACATAAACTAGACACATCTCTCCCTCTCTCACATAAAGACCAGTCCTGATGGCAAATCACTGAGAATTTTGGTGAAGAAATTAGATTTTTTCCAGCTTTAGTGAAGTATAAAAAATTGATCATTTAACCAATTTCTAAGGCTCCAATTTCTATCTTGGTGCCAGTGATTCCCAATTTGTGCCAATGAGGCATTTTCAGGCCGGACTGCTATTTGTAGCACCCACCTACTTGGGGTTATTACAAGAGTCCCTTTACACTTCCAAAGTGTCTAAATCTGAGCTCATTTAGCCCCTGAAATAGAAGCTTCATAAGACTTTCTGTTCAGTGTTGGATTCCCAGGACCTAAAACAGTGACTAGCAGGCAGGTAGGTGCTCAGTAAAGATATGTTGAATGAATTGATGATGAATGAATGGAATAACCTTCCTAGGAGGCGGAACCTTCCATTAATGCTACACGTGTTACAAGAATGTTCTCCAGCATTTGACAGTTAAGACCAAACTCTATACCTCTTCCCATTATCTCATCCCTCCAGCCTTCTTTTATTAAATTGCCCTCTCTGCTGCATCTTCCCCATCCACCCGTAAATATGCTCAGAATCTACTATCAGAAAACAAAATATTCCTTTATTATACACGGCTATCTATAAATCTGTTCAGTCTCACTTCTCCGGCGCCATCTTAAATTTTGTATTCCTGGAATTTTGAGTACCTCTGAGCTCCCAACTCACACCCAAGTCTTTCCCTCCTATGTGTCATTCCCGGGCAAGGAATGGCTTTCTTGGAATGCCCTCTCCCTGCCCTGGAGAAGCCCTCCTCTGCCCAGCTATCTCCTTCTCGTCCTTTAATTGCCACCGCATGTACTATCCATCTCCTCAATGAAGCCTTTCCTGGTACCGACCCCTCTCCTCTCAGGCAGCGTCCTTCCTCTGTGCCCTCACAATTCTTTTCACATCCTGGTACACGTAGAAAATGGCTGTGGGGAAATGGACAAGGCTGTGCATGGCCATCAGTAACTGGCCTAGGTCTCAGGCTGGCATAGTCCTTGTGCAGCGACATCCGGGCACGCTTGTGATCCAGCCACGGCACACTAGGATGGGCTGTCATGCTGGATGGCAGCTCTTCTGTAAGTATGCCACATCGCTACATCCACCCCACCGCATTATGATGATGTGTTTGTCCCTCACTGCACCTCTGAACACCTCAAGGGCGAGAATCTCGTGTTCTCATTTTCATGTTTTGAATCATCACATAGTAAAACTTTTTAAAACATTAATATTATCACATCTACATTCTTACAACCATGTCCACCGTTAGAATATAGAAAGGTTCCATCATATAAGGTGCCAGAGTACCCTCCCCCCACCCCTAGCACCCAGTGATCTGTTCTCTGTCACAATAGTTTTCTTTTTGAGAACGTCATATAAATAAAATCACATAGTACGTAACCTTTGGAAAGTTGCTTCTTTCACTCAGCCTAATGCCTTTGACATTCATCCAAAACGTGTCTAACAATAGTTTGTTCCTTTTTATTGCCGACTAGTATTTCGTTGTGAAGATTTAATACTGCTTACCCATTCATCCGCTGAAGGATTACTGGGGCCGTTTCCAGTTTGGGGCGATTTTGAATCCAACTGCTATAAACATTTGTGAAAGGTTTTTTCTGTGAACGTGAGTTTTCAGTTCTCTAGGGTAAATACCCGAGAGTGGGATCATATGGGTTTTATGGCAAATGTATATTTAGCTTTATGAGAAACTACCAAATGGTCTCCAAAGCAGCTATAGCATTTTGCGGGTACACTGCCCTGGCAACGTATGAGCGTTCCAGTCATTCCACAACCTTGCCAGAATTTGCCATTGCCAGCACTTTTCATTTTTGCCATTCTAGTAGGTGTGGTGTGGTATCTCATTGAAGCTTCGAATTCTCTCTCTGTACCCAGCACTTAGCACATTGGTAGGTTCTCAAGAAATAGTTGAACTGAAATAAACGCATCTCATTTTTTTAGTCCTGTTTTACAATTCACTGATGTTTTCATTATACTTTCTACCAAGCCTTGTGTTTAAAACCAAAGAAATTGCACAGAAATATAAACTCCCTCCAACCTTCTTGTACTCACTCCCTCTCCCAAGCTCTAAATGACTCATTCATCCTACTAGACAATGGAGATAGCAATAGAACCTATAACTTTCACTCCAACTTAAACTATACTTGAAGGCTTGCAAACAAGATTGCTTTGGAAAGGTTCTACTATCACTGCCACTATTGCTGACAATCAGAATCACCACCAGGAATTAGACAATTGGCCAAGCCAGGCACTGTTCTAGGGGAGTGGTTCCTATAGTAACTCGCTCACCCCTCCAACTCCAGGAGGTATTATCCTCATGGTATTGATGGTACTGACATGAGGGCTGAGGGACAATGAAGCTGACAAACTTGCCCAAAGTCATGTAGCCGATAAGTAAAGGCACCAGGGTGCACATCCGGGTCAGGCTGGTGTGGACACCATAGTCCTCACCGTTCCGTGCGGCTGCTCTACTGGCCAGAGGAACCAATTGCTCTTTAATCAATAGAAAAAACGACAAGAACGATCTCAAGTCACTTTAATCTTGAAGGGTTATGAAACTTCAGGAAAGTGAACCATTCTTTCCACATCGGTCTTACGCTAGCTCCTTCAGCAGTGAGGCAAATGAATGAGGGGTGCGGGCCCCTAGTCTGAGCAGCCTGCTCTGCCTGATTGGAGGACAGACTAAGGATTTTAGATCTTATTCCTGTGAAGCCAGCAGCACGAGCGAGACTCAGTTAAACAAACTGGACCAACATCAGTTGTTGCTCTATGAAAATTATCCCCCATTCGTTAAATCTTGAACCTGTTTACTAGTTCTGTACTTGAGAGCACCCTGGACCGGAGACATAGGCTGAAGTTATAATAATGGTTGCTTTTTATATTGCGTTATACAAGAAAATAGCATTTTATATATGAAAATTCATAATATACTACCTGAATCATCTCATGACTAAGCACATCCAGGGATAACACAGAACTTCAGTCTTTAGAGACCAACCCACCACTAATTCTAATCAAACGAGACACATAGACTTGTCACTCGGTACACGTTGCTAAAACTATGGCCAACAGACTATCAAAATGGAATTCAGTGGTTCGGCTTTAGTATGTTAACGTAAAATATTTCTTATCTCTTTTATTACCTGCTTTTTCCCAAACCCAAAAATACGCTTCTATGAACTTGGAGCTGAATCTCTTTTCATGTCACTGACAAGGTAAACAAGAGACACAAATCCCATGATCCTATGTCTTAAGTAGTCACTTTCCTTATCCCAAATATGCAATCATTTCATGCTTCAAGTATGAAATCAGGGGGAAAATCTGTGCACTAAAAATAAAAGTTATTCAATAAAATTATATCACAAGCAAAGTTGTTTGGGGGGGCGGGGTAGATAATAGCTCCGAGTCCCAAAATGTCAGACTATTTTGTATGTTTCGGTCCCATACAATGAACTAACTACATAACAGAAAGAGGTTTCACGTGCTCTAGTGAAAACTCTCAAGGCTGTTTTTAAAACAAATAGTGCCACCAAGTGATTACTGTCATGGAAAATTATGACAACTCTAAAGAATATCTGGCTCGAAGTCCCAAGCAGTAAAACGCAAAGGTATTACTGAATCATAATCATTTGGAGAGCTTTCTTAACCTTTACAAGCAGGCCTCTTCATAATGTATTTATTGCAATGATTTAACACTCGATAATCATAAAATCTACTGAAAGAATATCATTTATACAAATTCATAAGTGGCTCATAACACGGTGTCAATGATTGATAAGAAAGCATTAAATAGCAGAATGACTGGAAACTTTCTGATTGGCATTCCAAAATGTATGCATTACTGACAAATTTCTCAGACTTGAACCCTAGACCATCCCGAGAAAGAATTATATATTTTTACAAACCATAAGCCACTCAGCAACGATGTGAACTTTCTGTAAAACTGTGGTTTTTCTCAGAGGAGAAAAGCTTATTTATCGAGACCACCGAACATAAAGAAGCAATTAAATACAAACCAATTCGCATAACCAACATAACATTTTCCGTTGAAAATCAAAACTTTTCAACCTGACAGATACATTCGTCACTGAGAAGATGCCATTTTTAAAAAGAAAAAAAAAAAACAAACAAACACAGCACAAATCAATTTCCCTCACCAAAAGTGCAGTCAAAAGTTTACTATAAATTATAGCCTATTATAATACCATATATACGGACGAGCAGATAAAATCAGTTTCTCTTTTCCCAAAAGTGCCTCTGGACATCTAGTCTCGAGGAAATAAACAACCAAGGTCGTATATGGTTTTGTACTTTTCTTTTGCAGGCTTTTCCTGCTTCATCTTCGATATTCTTTTTAAATATCAGAAGCGCCTGAACAAACCTCAGAAGGATCATCGACACTTTGCTATCAAAGGCATCATTCTTGTATAATTCTGAGCTGTAGCTTTCAACCCCTGTCCAGATAAATTCATCCGACCAAAAACCACGAGCTAGTCTCTGGAAACACGATAAGATCCCTGCCGTTTTAACTTGAGGACTATACTCACTGGCATACGTGTCCTCCTTCATCCTCTACCGCCTTGCCGAAGCCCCAGGGAATGGAGAAGGTCTGCCAAGTCTCTCCTTCGGGATCCTCGTCCATGGTAGGAAGGCAAAATAGCTCACCTTTTCCTAAGGATGGAAAGAAAGAACTCTGTTCTTTATTCTTTTATAAGAAGAATGACGGTATCCTAAGAAACAACTGCCAGATGAGAAGAAGGAGAGAAGAATCGATGCTGGGAGGCCAATCATATTTCATCACTCAGCTACTTGGAAACCAGATATGCTTAGACGATCACGTGCTCCAAGAGATTTAAGGATGCAGAAGAGGAGTAGCTCTGTCTTTTGTAAATTATTAACAGGAACTTTTTCCCCCCCGACCATGAGCAAAGATGCACGGGTTACTCACTTAAAAAAAAGGTAAAAATGGAATCGGGTTTGGCATCGAGCATACGAATCGACAGGTGAAGAAACAGGATTTCTAATGTTCTGTCACTGACCCCTCTGAATCGGGACAACCCAGCGCAGTTAGAATGGAAGAGATCGCACACGGGGCACGAAGCAGCACCTTCCGAAGGCCCGAAGAGGCCGGAACTGCAGCTTCAGAGTTTGCCTCTGATGAAAACGAGTATTTGCTCCTCCCCATCTAAGAACTCACTATGGGATATTTGGTGCTCTGAGCTGGAATGAAGCCACCTGCACGCAATCCTCACAGCTCTCCTAGATTTCGAAGTGCTATCTAACTTCTCTCATAGCTTTGTTTTTCATCCAGATTTGAGATTTAACATGTCTACCTTAAAGCTATTTGCAAGTTGCCTTTTTTTTTTTTAATGCCTACAGCACCTGATCTTCCTAGGTGGTCTCCTATCCAAGGACTAACCAGGCCCGACCCTGCTTAGCTTCTGAGGTCAGACGGGATCAGGCACGTTCGGGATGGCATGGCTGTAGACAAGTTGCTCATTTTAATGCCAGATCCTACCCAGGAATTTAAACTCAGAAAGCACTGGCTTCCCATGACATAGATGGGGGACATTTGGAGTACACTCTGTAGAGTGGTATGGAATGTCCCTTTGACTCTATATCGCCATTTCTCAGCCTCGGCCTTACTGAAATTTGGGGCTGGATACTTCTTTCTTGTGGGCCTGCGCTGTACATTGGGGGACATTTGGCAGTGTCCCTGGCCTCTACTCACTAGATGTCGGTAGCAACTCCCCAGTTGTGACACCAAAAATATCTCCAGACATGCTGGGAAAATTTCCTGGGGCCAAGAGACCAAAGAAAGAGGCTGGCAACTCCAGAATTACATCAAGGGCTAAGTAAGGGAACTTACGGACAGAGCCCTAAGAGCCAGCAAGATGATAGAACTCCACACCCAGAAAGCAATGGGGCTTGTTAAATATGGCCAAGGGGCACGTGCTAACGCAGGTGGCTTGTAGCCTCGTGGCCTTGTAGCCTCGTGGCCCCGTAGCCTCGTGGCCCCGTAGCCTCGTGGCCCATGCTTGTTAAGAGCTTTACAATCCAAAGCCATAAGCAACTTAATGGGGCCAGTTATCTATGCGACAATATTACCTTCAGGTGATGTGGGCCTGCCCCTTGCAGGCAGAACAGGCAGCTTGCTTTGTAAAATCGGTCACATTTCGCCTAACGAGACACTGCTAAATGTCCCCTGGGGGCAGACTACCCCCTGGTTGAAACCACTGTTCTAGACCCATTACTTTAATGAAGTTTTTTCAAAAGAAGAAGAACGTTATTTACATTTGAGACAGGCTTATGCCAAAGACACGTGGCGGGCAAATAATGAAGGCTGTGCATGCACCGCGCATGCACCGGAGGACTCATGCGCAGGGGGCCAATGATTTGTCATAACGGAGACACATTTAAAGCGGAAAATACCAACGCGCCATCGACATTTGCCAAGCTGCTCCACCTGTGATGGGTAACTTTGTGTGAACTTCACTGGGCCATAGGGCGTCCAGATATTTGGTTAAACATTATTGTGTGAGTGTCTGCAAAGGTGCTTCGGGAGGACATTGACATTCACATAAGTAGACTGAATAAAGCAGGTGGCCCTCCTCGATGTGGGTGGGCCTCATCCAATCCACTGGAGGTCCGATCAGAACAAAAGTTGGCGTGAGGGAGAACTGGCTCTCTCTGCCTGTTTTTAAGTTGGGACATGGGTCTTCTCCTGCATTCTGACTGGAACTTATACAACTGGCTCTGAGTTCCCAGCTTGCAGATGGCAGGTCATGGGACTTCTCGGCCTCTGTGATCATGGGAGCCAGTTCTCTGTAATCTCTCTCTCTAGATAGATGATAGATAGATAGATAGATAGATAGATAGATAGATAGATGATAGATGATAGATAGAGATACAGATATATAGATATAGACACACATTATATATGTAGATATTTATTTAAATATTTATATTCTACATATTCTATTGGCTCTGTTTCTCTAGAGAATCCTATTTAATACACTACTATAATTTCCAAGTCTCTAAACCTTGCTGTTTAGAATATGCTAATTTCTCCTTAGTTACATATTCTTTATTCTACCTTGCTTTCTGTCATCCCACTGCAAGTAGGGTTTGTTCTGGCAAACTATCCAAGCTGATCTTCGGTAGCAAAAGAAATCAAGCAGAGATAATGAGGACATAGGTTCCCTACCTACTCTGATCGGTGCCAAAAAAAGTCCTTTCAATTCAAGACATAACAGCGGTCTATTTAAATTCAGCACTGAGAATATCAGGCAGATAGCTTGAAAAGCAACAGCGCAGTTCAGCAAGTCCACAGTGGCGGACATGTTCTCATTCAGAATGGCATGTCTAAGGGAGAAATCTTGCAGAGGGGAAGTTGTCTCGGGAGAAACAGCCTTCGGAGCATCAGAATTTCCTCTCTGAGCAGGAGTGGGTGCGGTCAAAAGAAAGGCGAGCTCCTCACGTGGTAAACTGTGTCACTAGGCCTTCTGTCCTCTCCAGGGCTGATTTTGGAAATGAGCGTGGAGAGGTCAGTCTCTGATGGGCTGATGTTTGTGCTTCAGGGTTGCCGTGGGGAAGGGTATTGAATGGGCAGGGAGAGAGGTGCTGTGTCCCATTCATTTGGGATAAGAAGGAAAAAAAAGACATTCTAATAAAGCAGAATGGGGTTCTGAGATGGGCAAGCCGTGGCCCACTCTGTGGACTAAATGTCAGGAGGCTCAGTGTGGCCTGGAGGAGGGGGGAGCGTTCTGCGCTGGAGCGCGGGGTCCTAGAAGCGAGAGTTCAACAAATAAAATCTCTTTACTTCCAACCTGTTTTCCATATTTACTCCTTGGCTATGTGCTGTGGATTTTTCTTTTCTTTTTTAAACCCGGAAACACTCATTTCTTAATAATGTCACCGGCTACCAATTGGATTACCATACTTGAATGTCATAGCGGGATACCAAAGATGTTTTAGACACCCACTGACCGGCCTGCGCAGTGGCAAATACAAAAGACTTAGGTCATCAGTTGCTACCCTCAAAGGGCGTATGTCCCACGTTTACAGACAGCGATGATAAATATGCGAGAGCAGCAGATCTGAAAGATTTCATTTCATGTTTTTATTTTCCGTTTTTACATAAACTGGGATTATTTTGCGTACTTTAAAATACTAAAGGTATACTCTAGTTGAGTGACTTTGAAATTACTTTTGAACATAATCATCTTTTCCGACTAGGCAATAGAAAAATAAGTAAGACTACTATTTTACAGTTGAGAAAATAATTTTATACCCCTTTCTTAAAGTTGCTCAGATAAAGTCCTTAATTCTGGGCCTGACATTCGAGGTCTCCGCCATCTCTTCCCAACCTTCCTTTCTGTCCCTTCCTCCCTTCTGCTCTTTCTCATGCCTTCGGCTCCAATTTTATTAAAGAATGCAACGAGCTCTCCATGATTTTCCACCTCCAAATATTTGCGGTTTTTCCTCTTCCTTTCCACTGGAATACCAATTCCTTTATCCCTGACCAAAATCAATCCTTTCTCAAACACCTGACTCATAGCTCACCTCCAAGGAAGCTTTCCACTTTCTCCAAGCAAATTAATCTCCCCACCTCACTACTTCTGAAGGGAGTGGTACCTCTGTAAAAGCAGCTTTCACACTCAGCCTTACACTGCAGGTATTTGTGTTCACCTCACTTACTATTCTAGGAGGCTTTCTATAGATCCTTCAGCATTTTCTACATGGATGATCGTGCAATGCACAATGGAATCAGCTTTGCTTCTTCCTTTCCCATCCTTCTCCATGCCCCACCTTCTTGTACAGGTTGGAACCTGCAGTACGATGTTGAAGGAAAGTGGAAAGAATGGAAATCCTTGTTCCTGATCTTATGGGGAAAGCATTAGTAGTACAAAGAGTTGATAAACTGAACTTTAAAATTTTGTCAAGTGTGGTCTTCAATAGTGTGGGATGTAGAGAAAATATTTTTGTGTTTCTGCGGAGCTGGGGATTTTTAAATAAATTTTGCTGAAAACTCGGGCTCCTGAGCTACGAGCGAGCCTTGGGAAGGTAATTTACACACTGTATGAAAACTGTGAGCACTCCAGAGAGATTTATCTAACTCTGGGGGTATGTGTGTACACTTCAAGGGCAAATGAGGCTCACGACCTGGGACAGCCAGAGACATCCAGGCTTATCTGGTCTGGAAATATATTTAATTACATTCCAAAAGGTAAGAGAGAGAACCTGGGGTCATTTCATCCCATCCCCAAGGACCAAAAGTTTTATTCCCTCTTTATGAGAGAAGAGGGGGATGTAGCTGCCCCTTTCTTCTGTATATAAGCAGAGAAACTCCATTTTTCTCTACTTCTCACCTATGGATTATCTATCGGGCCCCTCAGAGAAGAGCTATTTCCATTTGGCCCCTGATGTCCCAGGGCTAAGGCTTGGGGCAAGGGGGCCAATGCAGTGATTATTACATAAATAACACTAATGATAGTCTATCTCCGATTCAGAAAACCTCATGGCACATTCGGGATAAAATTAATGAAGATGAATATCGAAAACCCAATAAAAAGACACTGGGCTTTGATTTCTGTCTCTGTTGCTGCAGGAGGCTGTAAAGGAAAAGGCCTAATTTTCTGAGAAATGGCAAATGTCCTCAGGTCAAAAGC